TGCACGTGTATTAGTTAGTTAGTCAGTTACAGCTATTCATATAAATAGCTGCTATGTTAACTTCTCTTGTATCTTTTGTATCATTTTCTTCTTTAATCAATGAGTTTGAGTATTCCTCTTCTCAGTATTCTTCTTGTTCCTTGTGATATGGAACTTATCAGATCAAGTTACTTTCATAAGATGGTATCGGAGCACATTGGGCTCTGGTAACCAAGCATCCGCTGCTACAACTTTTCCTTACCTTTTCTTTCTTTTCTTCCTTTTATTTTCTTATCAAGTTTCTGCCATTCTTGATTTCAATGGCTAATCCTCTTCCAGATTTTCATACCAATCCTAGTAACCCTTTCTTTCTACACCCAAATGAAAGTCCAGCTTTAATACTTGTTACACCACCATTAGATCCCACAAATTACCATTCTTGGGCCAGATCAATGAGTATGGCTCTTCTGTCCAAAAATAAACTTGGTTTTATTGATGGAACAATCCTAAAACCAGAAAATAATGACCCCACTTTTCCAGCATGGGAGCGTTGCAATACTATAGTTCTTTCTTGGATTCATCGATCAGTCAGTATTTATATTGCCAAGTCAATTCTTTGGATCAATCAAGCAAATGAAGCCTGGAATGATCTCAAAGCTCGATTTTCACATTCAGATATTTTTAGAATTTCTGATATTCAAGAACAAGTTTATCAAATGCAACAACGTCAGTTTTTTGTTACTGACTACTTTACAAATATGAAAATTATGTGGGATGAGTTGGACAATTTAAAGCCCTTACCAACATGTAGCTGTGTATTAAGGTGTTCTTGTAATGGATACCCTTTAATGCGTGAATATCGAGACTGTGATCGCACAGTAAGATTTCTCAAGGGTCTTAATGATCAATATGGTCATGTAAGATCTCAAGTGATGATGATGAAGCCAATGCCAGATATCAACACTGTCTTTTCTTTAGTGGTTCAGCAAGAAAGACAGATTCAATGTGAATCAAATATGAACCAGCTTGGAAATGATTCAAGAATATTCCATAGCTCAACTGATAATAATCAAAGAGGAATTTCTTTCAGAGGAAGAGGACGTGGAATCCCAAATATATTTGGAAGAGGACGTGGGAACAATGTTAGGATATGCACTCATTGTGGAAGAACAAATCACACTATCGATACTTGTTACAAAAAGCATGGGTTCCTACCAAGTTTCAAACCAAGAAATGCTGCAAACTTCTCTTCACAAGATGACAGTACAGATGCTATAGAGATTCAAGATGTTCAAGAATCCAATGTGACTATTTCTAAAGAGGAGTATGAAAGCCTCTTAACTGCCTTCAATCATCAAGATCTCACAACACCAGAAACACCAATGTGTTCAACAAACATGGCTCAAACCACTGCTTTAAATGTAAACTGAACAGGTAATTCATCAGGAAGATGGCTCCTGGACACTGGGGCCACTAACCACATCAGTTTCTTACTTTCGAATTTTTCTGAATTTAGAAAAATCAAGCCCATTTTCATCTCACTTCCTGATGGGTCTAAATCACAGGCTCAATTTTCAGGAACTGTACATATCTCTCATGACCTTACTCTTCATAATGTCTTATATGTTCCTACCTTTCAAGTTAACCTTGTTTCTGTTACAAAATTATTTCATGACCTTTCTTGTTATCTAACCTTTCATAATTCTTGTTGCATTATTAAACAGATACCATCGAATATGATGATTGGTTCAGCTGATGTAATTGATGGATTATATGTGCTAAGGACTCAACCATTCAGAGATCAGAATACAAACCAGAAAGCCTTCCCCACTGTTTTCCAATTACCAGAAAATAAATCTGCTTCGAATGTATCTTCAAAAGATGATGCATCTATATGGCATCATAGATTAGGACATGTTTCTCATTCAGTTTTAAAACAGATGTCAATAAAATTTCCTTATATTTCTTGTAAAGATATTTCACCTTGTGATGTTTGTCATTTTGCAAAACAACACAATTTCCCTTATCCATCTAGTACCAATAAAACCAAGTCTATTTTTCAACTTTTACATGTTGATTTATGGGGTCCATACTCTTTACCATCCATACATGGAAACAAATACTTTCTAACAGTAGTTGATGATTTTTCAAGATACACCTGGACTCTTCTTCTTAAAAGTAAATCTGAAACTCGAAGCAAACTCAAAGAATTTATCATATTTACTGAAAACCAATTCCACACAAATGTAAAATCTATTAGAAGTGACAATGGGCCTGAGTTTATTATGCCAGATTTCTATCAAACCAAAGGGATTTTGCACCAAAGGATTTGTGTAGAGAATCCTCAACAAAATGGCTTAGTTGAAAGAAAACATCAGCACATTTTAAATGTTGCTAGGGCCCTTGTCTTCCAATCCAAAATCCCACTCCATTTATGGTCTTTTGCCATTATACATGTTGTCCATATAATCAACAGACTATCATCCCCTTTGCTGCAAAACGACACTCCATATCAGAAGCTTCATGGAGAACCTCCTACCCTTTTACATCTCAAAGTCTTCGGATGTCTAAGCTATGCAACAACTCTCAAAGTTCATCGTCAAAAATTCTCACCTCGAGCCATTAAATCTGTTTTACTTGGATATCAGCAAGGCATAAAAGGTTATATTTTACTTGACATCACTAATCAAAAACTTTTTGTTTCCAGAAATGTTATTTTATTTTTTTAAACATTTTCCTTTCATACCTCATAACATTACACATGATACACCACATTCCACCACTCATGAAACACATGATCCAGATTATTCTGATCTCATACCTTCTCCTCCCATTGTCCAAAACACTCAAATTCCTGAAGAACAAATAGTTACACAGCAACCAAATGAAGCTATACATAGACGTTCACAAAGAAACAAAACACAACCACCCTATCTCCATGATTATCACTGTAATCTATCAATTACAAGTTTTCATCAATCATCACATTGAGGTAATGCATCTTCATCCAATCACATTTCCTATCCTCTGTCCGATGTCCTTACATACAATAATTGTTCTTCCAAATACAAAAGCTTTTGTCTTAATGTCACATCCCAGGTTGAACCCAAAACTTACACACAAGCATCTAAACATGAATGCTGGAAGAAAGCAATGCAGAATGAGGTTTCTGCTCTTGAACATAATAATACTTGGTCTCTTGTTGAACTCCCTCCTGGAAAACGCACGATTGGTTGTAAGTGGGTATATAAGATTAAGTATCATGTGGATGGCAGCATAGAGCGTCATAAAGCTAGATTGGTAGCCAAAGGCTACACTCAAACAGAAGGGCTTGACTATCTAGATACGTTCAGCCCTGTTGCAAAGTTAACAACTGTTCGTTTGCTCTTATCAATTGCTGCAGCTATGCAATGGAACCTGGAACAACTAGACGTCAATAACGCCTTTCTTTATGGCGATTTGAATGAGGAAGTTTATATGGACCTCCCTCCAGGTATTCATTGTTCTGATTCCAATAAAGTACGCAAATTGGAAAAATCTCTATATGGGCTTAAACAAGTCAGTCGACAGTGGTACTCCAAGCTCTCCACAACTTTGATCTCAATAGGATACACTCAATCATCTGCTGATTTTTCTTTATTCACTCGTAAACATGAATCCCATTTCAAAGCTCTACTTGTGTATGTAGACGATATTGTTTTGACTGGTGACAACATAGATGAAATAAAACGTGTGAAAGCATTCGTTGATGATCGCTTCAAAATCAAAGATCTGGGCAATCTTCGTTTCTTCTTGGGTTTAGAAGTCACTCGATCTTCACATGGCATTCTCTTAAACCAGAGAAAATATACCTTGGAACTTCTTTCTGACACTGGTTTAACAGCAGCCAAACCAGCTTCAACACCCATGGATCCTTCATTGAAGCTTCATCGAAAACTTGGAGAACCTATATCTGATGTTTCTTTATATCGGCGTCTCATTGGTCGTCTTCTCTATTTGACCACCACAAGACCAGATATCACCTTTAGTGTTCAACAGCTCAGTCAGTTCCTTGCTGCACCTACTGATGCTCACCTCAATGCAGCTCATCGTGTACTCAGATACTTGAAAAACTCACCTGCCAAAGGTCTTTTCTTTTCAGCTTCAACTAGTCTCCAGCTTAGCGGTTTTGCAGACGCAGACTGGGCATGCTGCCCAGACACAAGGAGGTCCATTACTGGTTTTGCCATTTTTCTTGGTTCGTCACTCATCTCATGGTGTTCTAAGAAACAAACAACCGTATCCCGTTCTTCTACCGAAGCGGAATATCGTGCCTTAGCAGCCATCACATGTGAATTACAATGGTTGGCCTATCTCCTTAAGGATCTTCATATCCCTCAACTGAAACCAGCACCTGTATTCTGCGACAACAGATCTGCTATACATCTATCTCATAATCCGGTTTTCCATGAAAGGTCTAAACACATTGAGTTAGATTGCCACATAACCAGAGAAAAGATTCAAGCGGGATTATTGCATCTCCTTCCCATTTCCACAAAGGCTCAAGTTGCAGATACTTTTACTAAGGCTCTGCTTCCTTCAGCATTTCATCACTTAATGGACAAGCTTTGTCTGCTCGATATACACAGTCCACCTTGTGGGGGGTGTTACCGATCAATAACCAGCTCACCAATGAAGCTATGCATACGTAGAAGCTTCTCACACGTGTCATGCTTATTAGTTTACTTGTTTAGTGATTATGCACGTGTATTAGTTAGTTAGTCAGTTACAGCTATTGATATAAATAGCTGCTATGTTAACTTCTCTTGTATCTTTTGTATCATTTTCTTCTTTAATCAATGAGTTTGAGTATTCCTCTTCTCAGTATTCTTCTTGTTCCTTGTGATATGGAACTTATCAGATCAAGTTACTTTCATAAGAAATAAGACCATTTTAGTTCACCTAATTCCATTTGTTTGACTATGCAACCGGTAATCTGCCACAATAAATTTTCTACTCTGAACCGACCATATATGTAGTACCTGAATATGAAGTTCCGGCTTGAGGGCAACGCATTTGAGGAATTCCAGGTGGAGAGAACCACTCCAATGGCCACTCAAATGGAGCATCATCATGGTTTCCAAATACACTGGCCCAAGGTATGCCCCTATTTCTTGCTGTAGAGGTTGCCTGATCCCAATACAAGCTTGCATTTGCAATCGTCATATTGTTAGCCGTAATGACATCACCAAGATATATTACAAAATCTGCCATACAGTTAACTTCGTTAGTATTCAGCATGCATGAAATTTGGAGATCATAACGCTACAAAAGAAAATTAATTTACAAAAATAGGGGGATGTATGCAATTTAGTTTAGATATAACTTCCTACAGAGTTTTATAATACACTCTTTATAAAACCCTTTCTACAGTGTCATCAACATTTATGAAGTTTATAGCACATGCCCAATATTTAAACTCTTAACTTAATTTCTCTCAGTAATCTAGTATAATTCAGGTAGTTTAGAACCGTTTTCATTTGGGAGAAATATACACACATAAGAGGAGGAATCAATTTACACCCATGTAACCAAAACCACTCTTGCACCATTTAATAATTGTTTGTCGGGTAATTTTATCCCAAACTCTAATGTTAGATTGAAAGTTACTATCATGTACATCGTATTTATAAAATATTACAATGATACAAATATATATATATATATATATATACAAAATAATATTTCTTCAGTTAATGCAGATAAATTATCTGCATTTACTCACAAAACGATGTCGTTTTAAGATTGAAAAATTAAATAATCATAATTATAAAAATTATAATAACCCTGAAATAATTAAAATTACAAAAATAACATAATTTCAATCCCAAAACGACATCGTATTAGGCTTACTGCACATAACGTATCTGCAGTATCTGCAGAAAAAACAAATCTACACACATATATATATATATATATATGAGGAAGAATCTTTGACTCCGGTGTAAGATTATAAACTCTTTTTTTTTTTTAATCATTAATTTTTTATGCATCCCACAATTATAATTTATTTGAAATTAATACTTAATTAATGAATATAATTCAATAAATTACAACTATATATATATATTATCTGGATTCATAGTAAACATGGTCCAGTCCAATAACAATCTAAAAGGGCCCGGTATAAAAACTTAAAGAAGTAAAGAAGCATGTGTACAACGCAATCCTAAAGACACAAAAGTTGAATTGACAGCATCACATAACTCATAAGCCTTTTTTAGAGTCAATAACTTAGGGAACAATATTCCTGCTAAGCCTATAATATTAATGAGTTATGGTTCAATGGTTTGTTAGTTGTTACATCCTAATATATGGTCCAATGATTCATATAATTAAAAAATGAAATCAAGAGCCAGAGTTTAACTTATACTAACGTTATACATATACTCTGGAGTGATTAAGATAGGGTGACAATTTAAGCAGTGGGTTAAGACTTAACATGGATAGATAGAAAATCAGTAATCACTAATTTAACTTTCGCTCTCCCTCTCCTCCTAACCTGGAGTTTCATCGTCGAGCACCGTATTCATGACCTTGATGGAGTTTATATCTTGAACTGGACCCCACTCTGTCCACGCGTTCTCTCCAAAATGCAGGTCAGCAAACAGGGCAATCTTGAACGGTGCACCCGCCCGCATCAGAACATGCCTCTCCGCTGCGGCGCCTGCTAATTTGAATGGTGTGGTTGATGATACCCGGCCATGATGATCATGATGATGTGATGACGATCCGACGGTGGAGAAAAGAGATAGAAACAGCAGGGGCAAAATCGTCTTCCACTGTCTTCCATAAGTTTCCATTTTTAAAAGAGGCTGAAAACAGACCACACTAAACGAAAATTCTTTGAAGAATAGAAAGATGGGGCGCAGTGCATTGTTATCATAGCATTTTTTTGAATTATATAAATGCAGCTGAGTTTGGTGACAATATCGGAGTTTGAAGAAGGTGAAATGACAGAAACACACTCACCAGTCGCCAGTCGTGATTATTTGCACACTCGTGAAGTTGTGATAAATTTATTGGTTTTGAAGTTATTTTAGTTGGAAATTGATTGGGCAGCGGCAATCTTAACTTATTAGTCATCATAACAATTCCCTCTAATTTATAGACAAAAATTATATTTATAAATTTTTTATTTACGGAGTAAATATTATTTTTGGTCCCTAATAAAAAACACGATCTCCACTTTAGTACCTTACAAAAATAAATTAGTCAGTTACTCCCTAAAAAATTCAAAGTGAACTTATTTAGTTGAAATCGTGGTCCCTCACAAATTCAAAAAAGACTCATATTAGTCCCTCAAAATGACTAAAATGGGTCCACTTTGAATTTGTTAGGGACTAACTGACTAATTTATTTTTGTAAGGGACTAAAGTGGGGACTGTATTTTTTTGTTAGGGACCAAAAAAGGTGTTTAATCTTCTTTTAAATTTAATTATATACTAAAAATAATACATAAATCAAGTATTATTCTTTGTATATAATTAAATTTGTAAAATTTTGTAAATAAAGAATTTATAAATATATTTTTTTTTATATACTTTTATGGTTAAAAAAAGTAAAAAAAATATTAATTAGTGATCTACGGACAAGAACATGAAAACATTATAAACACATTAAATAAAGGGTTGAATTATTTTATACCTATATAAATTATATTTTTTATCTTAATCAGATTATATATTTAATGATTAAGATTTATTAAATATTTCAGTTATTAGATTTAAAAGAGAAAAATTTTACCGTTAAATTTAAAATAAAATGTGTATAATTTTTTTTATCACTTTATTGATTATAACAGTAACTCATTATAATTTCAACAACATAGAGAGGTGAGGTTGGTGACAATATTGGAGTTTGGAGAAGGCTGAAATGACAGAAACACCCTCAGCAGTTGTGATTACTTGCACAGTTGTGAAGTTGTGATTAATTTACTGGTTTTGAGTCTTTTGACGTTCTTTTAGTTGGGAATTTGTTGGGCAGCCGCAATCTTAGCTTATTACTCATCATAACAATTCTCTCCAATTTTCTACTTTTATGGTTAAAAAAATAAAGAAAATCAATTACTGATTTACGAAAACATAAAAACATTATAAGCATATTAAATAAGGGAAGATTATATTTATAAATTTTTTATTTACAAATTTTTATAAATTATTTTAAGTATAACCGATCATACTTCAATCAAGATTATATGACTAGTCATACTTAGTGTAATTTGTAAAAAAAAATTGTAAATAGATCATTTTTCTATTAAATAAAGGTTCGAATTTATATTATTATAAGTTATTGGGGAAGATTATATTTACAAATTACACTAAGTATGATCGGTCATACTTCAATCAAGAGTGTATGATCGGTCATATTTAGTATAATTTGTAAAAAAAAAAATTGTAACGGATCCTTCTCGTAACTTATATTATTAATCTTAATTATAGATGTTATTTATAGGCGTTAAAGTTTTTAAAGTTATTTTTGATAACTTGTCTAATGTTTATTAAATACATACATAAAAATATAAAAATGTGTGAAATTTATGTTTTTTTTTCTCTCTTCTCTTCACATAGGTTCACATGGACCCCATACACTTTTTTGTATATATTTTAGTGAACATTAAATAAAATAATCTAAAATAATTTTAAAAACTTTAAACCCTTATTTATACATAACAATTCTGATTTATTAAATATTTGAATCATTAGATATATGCAAAAAAAAAAAAAAATTTTTAGCCTCTAAATTTGAGTTGTTAAATTTGAAATAAAATGTGTATAACTTTTTTTTATCCCTTTATTTATTGTAGCAGTAACTCGATATAATTTCAACATCATATATATATTTTTATCAGCTTAAATTTATTTTGATCTATCTTTTATGACTAATATAAGATTTTAGTTTTTCTAAGTAATTTTTTGAAGTGATAAATTTTTTAAAATTAAAATTTTGGCTATCTCGTTGATCTATCGTCTAGTTACTAATAAAAAATAGGGATGTGGTTAACTATTTAGCTACTTAGCATAATATTTTATTGAGTTGATATCTCAACGAATTCGTGTCTTCAATTTATCTAAATATTCTAAAATAAATAAATTAAATATAACATAATGTATTCAAATATAAGAAAATAATGTCATAAATAAATTGAAGTCGTCGAAATTTTTTATTAAGAAACTTTACTCAATAAAGTATTATATTACGTATATAAATCATTACTACTAAATTATATCAATAGAACTACAAAATTGAACAACAAAAAGACACAGACCTTTTACCAAAAAAAAAAAAAAACGACACATAGACCTGATTTTTTGTAAATTAAAAATATTAAAGAATTTAATTGATAAAATAAATTATTGAAAAATGAAAATCACATATTAACTACACTAGGTAGAATAAATGTTTGATTAATTTTATTTTATTTTTATGAAAGAAACCAACGTTTGGAGAATGTACCATAGCATATTCCATGGCATTAGTTGACACGTTAATAAGAATAAGACCTTCCGCTGCCATATTCCAAGGCATTAGATGACACGTTAATAAGGATAAAACCTTGCGCTGGCATATTCCATGGCATCATCAATGGAATACAGAAAATTAGAAGAGCATACTAAAGATTTAGGTCATGGTGGTGGCCTGTTGGTAACGATTAGTTTTTTAAAATAATTATCTTAAGAAATTTTTGAATACTTTTTTAACATAATATAAATTAAATCAAAGATTTATATCACGGAAGAGGTTGTACTCATAATATTTTTTTGTTTTATAACTTTTTATAATCATTTTTGTTATCGTTAGATTAAAATTAAATTAATGATTTTCACTTCATATTATTTTATAATGTTGATTTAATTTTGATCTTACAATAACAAAATTTATTGTTAGAAGTTACAACTTACAAGACAAAAGAAATTATAAATATATTCTATCTTTTATTTTATACTTTAGTATTTGAATATGGGATGAGGATTTCAACCAAAAAAAAAAAAGAATATGGGATGAGGATTTTTGAATGAGGAATATATGCACACATGAAGTAACTTGGACAACATTTAGACTTTGGATTCGGGTACAATTAGGGGTGTTAACGGGCCGAGCCGAACCGAGCTGAGCTGAGCTTTGATCTTAACTGGCCAAGCTTGTATTTAAACGTGTTTGACTGGCTTTAGACTGTTACCTGTTACGAATATAATATTGGCCAGTGGCTGGTTTATTTACAAAAAATAAAAGCCTGTGTGAAGCTTGTCTTGGCCTGTTAGCATGTTAAAGAATAAAAATAAGATAACAAAATTCCACAAAAAATCAATTTCCAGATAGAAACCTTAGCTTCCAATTTGCAGCAATAATTTATAAAGTCTACAATAAATAAATAAAATTAAAATGAGAGAAGGTAGATAACAGGTTATATTATCTTAACCCATTATAAGAAAATGCCAACAAAAATAAAAATAAAATAAATAAAATAAAAAATAAATTGACACAAACGAGCAGTGCACAGTGGAACGAATGAGTTTTTGTGGGTTTGTTTGTGTGAAGGAGGATGAAGGATAATATAGAACAACACTAGTGATTCCATAAATATACATAAATTCAATATATATCCAAATAACATAATATAGAACAAAATCATTCAAAAAGTCTATTAAACCAATAAAATGGGGTGAAATAAATTGATGAGAGAAAGTTATTACAAGTAGTATAAAAAGTATAAATAAATATTTATATACTAGGCTAGCCTGGAAAGCTCTAAGGCCGAGCTTCTGAATTAGAGCTTGAGGCCTTTTTATTAAACGAGCTTTTATACAAGTCCAAGCCTGGTTTCAACACGAACTTTTATTAAACGAGCTCAGGCCTTTACGAGCCGAGCCAAAGGCCCCTGAAAGGCCTCTGGCTCGTTTACCACCCCTAGGTACAATGGTATGCAATCAGGTCTTTGAAGTTGGAAAATATCTTCGGTATTCTTTTTTTTTTTGAGCTACCCAACCCTAATTATCTCTTTGAGACGAGTTGGCTCCCTCCGGTATCCCTACGAGCTTCGACTCTTTGAGACGGCTATGGGATTAATCCGGAGTGCGGGGGAACAATGATGGCTAAAGGTTCAGCCCCTCCCCAAGAATGCGTTCAGCGGGAATCGAACACATATCCAACCCCACTAACTCAGCGCCAAGTTACCAACTGAGCTGCACCCATTGGGTATCTTCGGTACTCTTGTAGTATTGAAGATTGGATATATTTTATTAAATTTGATAAAAAGTAATAGAAACAATTTTTTCTCATTTTATCGACCTTTTTTATAATTATTGACACACTCACCTTTTCCTATTTTTAGTAAAAAAAAAATATATGCTCCTATAATACCAAAAATATACTCTTGAAGTTGAGAGTTTAAGGACCCGTGAACTACATTACTCTTGATCAAGCTTGATTTGAGTGAACAACACAACAATTTTTTTTTAGTATAAATTTGGGGGTGTCGAATTGAATTTGGGGGTGTTTGTATAAATTAATTTGGGCTAATTTTTCAAGTTCTTCACAACAGTCATATGCGATCTCAAGCCAAATTCAACGGCGAGAGTTGCGTGCCCGTTTCAAATTCAATCAAACTTTTGGCCTGTTTGAATTTCATTCTCAAAAAAAGTTTTTAAATTTTTAG